CCCGTTTTGCATTTTATTTAGAGACAGGGTCTCCATGAGTTAATTGTTTAGCGCCTCACTTTTGCCAAGTCTGGCTTTGAACTCGCATCCTCCTGTCTCAGTCTCCCGATCCACTAGGATTACAGGCATGAGCCACCACTCCTGGCACACTTAGCGTATTTTTAAAAGTAGTGTTGGACTTGATTACTAATCTGGCTCACATTTCTTAAAGTATTCACACTTGTTTTCTTCCAACTCATTTCTTCGGCAGTCTTCTGTTTCCCATATGTTACCCTCCATAGATTATCAGTAGTTTTAGGAAGTTTATCCTCTTACATTGAAGAAACTAATCCTAAACTAAGTATTATTAGGCCACTTTKGGGAAATCTTTTATAAGGCTACAATCCATGGGAAGTAGCATTGTGGAATAGTTTCGTTTCGCAGTAAGCAGCATTATTTGTTGGTTTTTTTTTGGTGGTCTCTGGGTATTTAGCCACCACTGATTGCTGGAATCCTCATTGAATATTTGGATATGTTGAATACCATACACTGAAAGACTTCTAGGTCGTAATGATGAAGTTACAAAGTTTTCATGTTAGATTATGGAGGCACTGAGGTTAATTTTAAACCACATTTGTATATATAATTAAATTTACTGATTTTTTTCAATGTATAGCTCAATGAATTTTTTAAAAATATTTTATTAGTTGTTGATGGACCTTTATTTATTTATATGTGGTGCTGAGAATCGAACCCAGTACTCACACATGCTAGGCAAGTGCTCTACCACTGAGCCACAATCCCAGCCCCAGCTCAATGAATTTTCACAAGTATGTGCAGTTACRTACCCTCTGCTACAACGTGAGCACGTCCTCTTTTAAGCCTGTTTCTAGTCATTCCCGTCCCCACGCGGATCCTGACATTCCTTGATCTGCTTCAGTTGCTGCTATTTTGCTTTCCTTCTGATTTCATGTAAAAAAAAAATWAAAAAATTTAGTCCTTTGTATTTGGGTTCTTTCCCATAGGTAGTGCTCTTTAGATTCATTTATATTGTTGTATGTTTCAATAATTGTTCCCTTGTATTGCTGAGTAGTATTTCCCATAATTTGGTTATGCATTCAACAGTTGATGGACATTCGGGTTCTTGCAAGTTTGGGACTTTTTTTTTTTTTTTTAACAGGGCTGCTGTTAACATTTTCTTACAAGTCTATGTGTGGAACCTGTGTGTCTAAATTCTCTTGGGTTTATGCCTAGGAGTAGAACTGCTGGATCATATGGTAAACATGTGTTTTAGTAGATGAGTAACTGCCAAATGGTGTTTCAGTATGAGAATCCCTTGTAAATACTTAGAATTTTCAGAGTTTAAATTCATTCATTCTAGTTGTAATGGTATCTAAATGTAATGGTATGTAAATAAATCCTCATTAAGGATTTATTTTACTTTTTTTTTCCTGACTAATTATGTTGAAAATCTCATTCTGTGCTTGCGTGGTGTTTATTTTCCTTGTTAAAAATGTGTATCGAAATCTTGTTTCCCCCACCTTAACATGGTTGTTTGACACTGAGTTTTACTGTTATTAGTGACTTTATATAAAGACATATAAGGAAGCTATCATTGTTCCTTTGTGTCTGTGGGATATTGGTTTCAGGAATCCCCTTGGATACAAAAATCTGAGCATGCTCAAATCCCTTATATAAAATTGCACAGTATTTACATGGAACCTATGCACATCTTCTAATATATTTGAAATCATTTCTAAGTGACTTTTAATACTGGTATGCTGTAAATATTATGTAAGTAGTTTTTAATGCTGTCTTGGTTTAGATCTGTACACATTCAGTAAAGATGCAAATTTATTTCCTGAATATTTTTGATCTGCGGTTGGGTGCATCTACAAATGGGAAATCTGCACATGACTGAATTTAATTGCTTTCATAGTTTTAAGAAAGAGACCGTCCTTAATGGATATACTGTTTCTTGAGCTGTTTTTGCTTTGGTGGGCAGATGTAGAGGGGTTCTTCTGTCACCCACTGGCCTGTTTTAGTTTGTCTGACCTTGCTTCCTTACTTCTACTCCTTAATTCATTGGAATCTGTCAATTCATAGTCCCTGGGAAAACCACCTGTGGATTTATTAACTACAGCCTCTCTTGAACACACCCTCACACGTGCACACTCATCCCACACAAACTAGAGCCACTGGGAGGTCCTCCSCAGCCCTCCTCATTCAATGAATCTGCAGAGGGCAGTGCACCCTCTCTTGCTGTTTGGATCCCGCATACCAGCACTGTGCCGTATAAATAATGGAGTAGTCAAGTACCCATGATAGTAAACTCCTTACTGTGAAATCGAATGCCTTGAGTGAGTTCCAGTTTTACAGAATACAGGTCCTGTCTGATGTGATGGATCTAATACTAAGTCATTTTGAAATTCTTAGTTTAAAAACTGCTTTGAGAATAACTTCTTTTTGCTTCATACCTGTCTGTAAAATTTACTGAAAAATGGATTGTAGAAAACTTATTTTGATTTGACTGTAAATAAGAGAGGAAAATTATGTTTTTTAGAGTAACCATATCTATGTTAGACAGCCCAGGAGTATCCCAGATTTTATTGCAAATTTCTCATGGGCTTTAATCACTTAWTAAGCTTTATCAGTGGAGTGAAAGATACAGTCTGCTCTTGAAAATTTTAAAAAGTGGTTAATATTGAAATAAAGTTGAGTTGACTCATATAATGATGTTTGTGCTAGGTAAAGTCATTTTTTGTTGTTTTATGTTAAAATAGGTGAAAATTTAAGCTCTTAAGAAGTTATTTATGGAAATTAAAGATCAGCTATGACCTAATAGAGCACGGAATTTAATCGCTTTCATACTTTTTAGAAAGAGATAATCTTTAATGGATATTTGTTTCCTGAGTTGTTTTTCCTTTGGGGGGCAGGTGTAGAGGGGTTCAATAGAATCTAGGAAATCATGTGACAGTACTTCACCACTCTGGGGTTTCATTTCTTCATCTGTGAAATTAACCAGCTGGAGTATATCACCATAAGRTTCCTAAGTCTTAAGCATATTTACTTTGAATTATTTTTATTAGGAATGGTTTTAGTTTCACATGACAATCTTGAAGATAAATCCAAACTTGAATTTCTTCATTTGTAGTATTTTTCCCATTGCGATCATAATTGCATGATTTCTCTAGCTCTTCATTACTTTCCCTCTTAAAAAATGTGAGAAAGAAAAGGCAAAAATAATGATAAAGATTAAAAAGAATTTTTGATTCAAGTTTTGTTCAAAACGAAATACTGGTTGCAAAATATTACAGTATAAAAACATTTTCTTTGTTTTGGTGGGCCACAGTGAATTTAAATGGGCTTAAACATGCATTAAAATGCTGCTAGGGGCTGGGGTTGTAGCTCAGTGGCAGAGCACTTKCCTAGAGTGTGTGAGGCACTGGGTTCGATCCTCAATACTACATAAATAAATAAAATAAAGGCATGCTGTCCATCTACAATTATACAAAATTTTTTTTARATGCCGCTAAAGTAGTATTAAAATTATATGATCCTTTTTTAGTTAGAATTTCTGAAATCCCATCCACTGTATTTCAGCAGGCAAATAAAKACTTAAATTGCATATCCAGAAGCAACCAAAAAAGACATGGAACTCGGTGTCTCTATTTCTGTCTTAATCTAATACTAGATATGATTCTGTGTTATTGTTGAGCATTGTTAGGCAATGGAACACAAAGTAAGGATGTGTTTTGAAAGTTTTATGGGTGAAGAGTGGGAAGTATTAGCCAGGCTTTCTCTCTTATTTCTCTAAAGCTATAAAAAATCTAGGTCAAGATTTCCATCCTTACTAATACACTTCAGACGTGCCATTCATTACACATGGCTCCAGAGCGGAGTTAATGATGTTTGGGAATCTGGCCTAGATCTGAATGAAGTGGTTCTTTGCCATCATCTGTCATAGTCCCAAGCATGTCCTTAAAAATATTTTTTCTATTGGTTACTCCTCTAACCGTGCAAAACATACAGTGAATCTCCATAAAGAAGATATCTATGGCAGCCAGAACATTTTCCTTCCCTGTCTGCTAGCTCCCACTTTCAAGTAAACAAAGATTCAGTCATTCGCGCTGATGGCATCCAACAAAAGCAGATGCCAGAGAGGAGAAGGCAGTGGAAATCTCCACCTCAATCTTTTTCTCTGAGTTGCCAGATGTCCAGATAACATCACTTTCATGATTCCGCCAAGTGTCTCCAAATACAGTTCACAGCAGTTACGCATCCAACAGACCTGGGGAAGGGACGTTCCTCAAGGTGCCTCTGTTTCTCATGTCCTTTTTAAAATGGAGCCGTATTCTTTCTGGGCTCTTGACATGCTTGCTCAGTGTACATTTTTTTCCCCTTTCTGAATAAAAAATATTGTGTACTCAAAATTTGGGGTGGCGTAGTTTTCTAAATCTATCCTCCATGCAGGAAGAAAGCAGCCCCAGGACAAGCAGGATTGTGTTCCTGTTTGTGAGCTGAGGTCAGGACTGCATTTGGAGGGCAGAACAGCTCCAGTACTTGTCTCATAATATTTTCTTCTTTGGCAACATGAACCAAGTTCCTAAAGTACAAATCTCTGTTCCCTTCCTCAATTTTGCTGTGGTTTGTCAGGAGGCTTCATTTCCTGCCTGATTCTATGGGCTGGGAGGGCTGACAAGTTTGGTTGGGGCATGTTGGGATTGGAAGGATGCAGAGCCASGGTCTTTGGGCTAAAGCAATCCACTGTCTCTCCTCTGGGCTGTTTTCCGTTCAGTAYACAAAGAAAGCCTATCCCATAGTTGATTTTTGTTTTCTTCTGGAACCAATTTAAAGTTTACTAGACCAGCTAAATTAGAAAAGGGCTTTGAACCCAACTTTTCCCTCGTTGTATTAGGAAACCTACTGTTATTCCATGAAAATCGGTTTCCTTTTAATGCTACTTTTAAATCACTTTTATTCTTCAGCATAATTTTTAATCCATGTTGATTTCCTTTTAGAAATCCCTGATTTGGACATCCAGAGCACCATTCCTGTCTTTTCTGGGTCTTGAATTGGAAGCTACCAGGACTCTGTAAGACCTGAAAGTGATATAAAAGGTAATTCACTTTTTAAAAAGTTATCAAATTCATGCGTAAATATGATCAAGTAAACATAACGCTATGGTTTTTTTTTGATAGTCTTCCCAATTTTTTTTTTTGCCTTTTCCATTTTGATTGATTTTTCCTTCCCTTTTTCTCCTTCTGTCTCCTGACCTCCTTCCCTCTGCTTTGCTCCCTTCTTTCCATTTTCGTTCGGCACACATTTGTGAAGTCTGTGCCGGGCCACACACACTTGACCCTCCGCACGCTGGCAGGCATGGGCAAGATTGGCAGAAATTGCCTCTGTGAACACAGCTGTCCTCATTCCTGTGCCTGCTGGGGGGACAGTGCTGCTGCCATTGGTGTGGTTGAGAGGCATGTCCTAGCACCTGCCCTGTTGCCCCCGCTATCCCTGTTGGCCCTCAGATATATACTTTCCCCCCAACTGAGTTTGCCTGGGTATTTGACTGCAGTGACTTTTTCTGAGAATTCTAAACCCTCTTTCGGTTTACATTTAAATTCCCTAATTTGGGATGTTAGAATCAAAATTACTGAAGGAATTAGTAAAGTAGCAACAGTGTACTGTTTCCCAACTAGTGAACACGGGACTGTGCCCACTGGACACTGGACGCTGGACGCGAAACCAGGTATGTTTTTTCCAAACACTAACATATGTTGCCACAAAATTAATTGTTGCAGATACAGAACAGAGAACATCACTATCTACTTGAAAGCCATTTCCCAGAGAAAGTATTGTTTATAGATTTATGTGTATATRTATCTTAATTATTATTCTCTTCATGCATATATAGTATTAATAAACATGTTAGGTCTACAATGAACGTCTTTATCCTATGAATGACACATATTTGGGGTAAAGGTGATCTCACAGTTTTTGCTAAATATTCTGCTGTATTCTTGTTCTTGACCCTTGCTAGCTTAAATGGTAATTTTGGGGAGTTTTGGGCCACTGACTTGGGTTATTTTGATTGTGTATTGTTTTTTGTTTTTTTTTTTTTTTTTTTTAACAGCTGTCTTTTATCTGCTGTTTTACTTTCCAAGGTTTCAGTTACCTGTGGTCATCTGCATTTGGGAAATAGTAGATGGAAAATTCTAGAAGTAAACCATTCTAAAGTTTTAAATCATGTGCTATTCTGAGGGAGACTTGAACACATGAACTGTGTTACTGTAACAGTTGATTTCTGATAACTGAGAAGGCTGCTAAGGGACTGGCAGTGCATCTGTGATGGACAAAGGGATGGTTCACCTCTGGGAAGGGATGGTGGGTCAGTGCAAGATGTCACACTCCACTCAAAATGGCTTTCCAGTGATTAACAGAGAAGTGGTCAACAGTAGCCTCACCCTACATCACAGTGCCCACTCATTCACCTGGCTTCATTGTGTCATCTCATATCAGCCTAAGAGGGGGAGAATTGTGTACAATAAGAGAAAGAGAGAGAGGCCAACCATACATATGTAACTTTTATTAATACATTGCTATAACTGTTCTATTTTATTATTAGTGGTTGTAAAACTCTTGCTGTGTCTAATTTATAGGTTCAGACTTTATCACAGGTACGTGTGTATAGGAAAAAGCATGGCGTGAATAGGGTTCTCTACTCTCTTCAGGTTCAGAATTCCTCTGGGGGCCTGGGAACATCTTTCCTACAGATAAAGGGGGACTACTGTCGTCAGCTCACTGRAGGATGCTGACTTCCCCTTGCACTAATGCATTCCTTGTTCCAGGGCTCCCCAGAGAACCCGGACTTGGGGGTTGCCCAGTCACAGTGAGTACCCTCGTCCTGGGTGCTGGGCAGGAAGGGTGAGCTGCCCAGCTGTGGTGCTCTACTCCCGTGTGGCTCTGGAGTTGCTGGTTTCATTCCGCGCAGGGCTTCTGTCTGTCCTTAGGTCAGCTGTGTAGGTCACCCAAGCCATTGCCAGCACAGTGGTTTCCTTCTGCAGCAAACTGCAGAAGAGTGCATTTGAACCTATTATACATGCAGGAAGTATGGTTTACTCTAATTAGGATCCCATTCCTGTGGTTGTACGTGATGTGGAGATTCCCTGTGGTGTATTCATATATGAACATAAGAAGGTCATGTCTGATTCATTCTGCTGTCTCTCCTATTCCTAATCCTGTCCCTGTCCCATTCCTACTCCCCCCATTCCCCTTTGTCTAATCCAATGAATGTCTACCCTGTCATCTCCCTTCTTCTTCTTCTTTCTTTTTTTAATTATTCATTTTTTAAAAAAACCTTTATTTTATTTATTTGTTTTTATGTGGTGCTGAGGCTCAAACCCAGTGCCTCGGACGTGCTGGGCRAGCGCTCTACCGCTGAGCCACAACCCCAACCTCGCACCTCTCTTCTTTCATTCAACCTCCATCTTTTCTCCCTTTTAGCCTTTATTAATCTCCTCATATGCCCTTATAATTGATCCCCTCATCACATGGTTTCCCCCAGCACACCCAGAAACAGTGTTGTCCTGATTTCAGAATTTCATATTTGTCTGGGTCCCTGCTATGTCCCCTCCTGAGGCAGCGTCTGCCTTCACCAGCTTAGCGACCACAGACCTACTATGGTCCAAGTACAGACTTGTCCTTAGTAACCAAGTGACAGATGACTGTTGAGTGGACATGTGAGCTCTTTATTCTGGGATACTCACACTTCAGCCAGTCAGAAGCATTGTCCTTTGGTTCATTTTTCCAGGGACCATTGAGCTGTGCCAGTTTTGTGGCAGGACTCTTGTTTTCCTGTGGTGAGTTTCTTCAGGGAAACCTGAGGGAGGGTGACCCAGCCAGATAGATCAGTTGACTGGTGGGTTGAGGACTGGCTCTGCCCAGACCAACCCTGACCCTTGGCCATCTGCAGTCGCAGCTCTTCTCCTAGATGGGACTGAGGAGCCATGGTTCTTACCATAGTGGACGAGAGTGTGGGCTCTGGTGTTGAGGAGGACTTGGGTTAGCGCCCAGGCTTTGTCATCACACATGTGGTCCTGGGAAGGCTGTTGGCTCTCTTTTCCCCCAGTCTTTCATCAGTCTAATCAGGATAATAACAGTGCTCATATCACAGGATTCTTGTGAGAACAAAGTGAGTGAGTTGCTCCATGGCCTGGCACGTGGGAAATGTTTACTCTAGTTTGAGAATTAGAATTGAGAATTTCTAATCTGAAAATCTAAAATGCTCCAAAACCTGAAACTTTTTGAGCACTGATGTGATGCCAACAAGTGAAAAAATTCTGTACCTGACCTTATGTCACGGGCACAAGCAGGCACACTAAAAATATTGTACAAGCTTACCTGCAGGCTATGTGTGTCAGGGGTATATGAAACATAAATGAATTTCATGTTTAGACTTGAGTCCCATCCCCAAGATATCTCATTATGTAAAGCAGACAGACCAAGAAACAAAACAAGAACCCCAAATCCAAAATACTTCTGGGCCCAAGTATTTCTGATAAGGGATACTCAACCTGTAYATGTTCATGGTTTTATTACTATGATCTTCTACAGTACAGATGATAAAACCTACTTTGTAAATGTCACTCTGAGCAATGAATGAGTTGGTGTGTACAGGATATCTTGTATCATGCATAAAGTGCACACTATAGAAATGAGAGCTCTCTTTGATAATGGTAAAATAATAATAGCTTCATTAAAACACGTGTTCATAGGACAGATATTGTGACCCTAAATGCTGGCTAATATCTAAAAGTGTTAGAGAAGGATGGCTACACATTCAGTAATCTCATCATTAGTTTATTAAATTGTTATCTATTTTGTTTGCAAATGTTTATTTATAAAAGTTTTGGTTATGATTGACTTGGAGTGAATAGTCAAGTTACATACTCATAAAATCCTTTTATTCTTACAAATGCCCATATTTTAAATATAAAAGAAAACATATTCTTGGGTTTTTATGAAATTTTAAAACCAACTAAATAAATATAGATCTTGAATAACATTAGACTACATGATCCTACACATCTTTGGTTATACTATATATGTGTAATTATTTTGGTCTGATTAGATGATGTCTTTTGTTCTTCTTAAATGTGAAGTATACTAAAGTATACTAAAGTATCATCCCCATTATAAGGTTGTTCCAAAACTTATAAGAAGGGAAACTAACTGAAACCTAATGACATTCGAATCTACTATACCTAAATTAAATGAGGCTTATTTAAAAACGTTGGCATTCTTTCCTCTGTCTTTGAACCAGAAACACATTTGAGTCCTTGGCGTATTAGGGAATTTTCTCACCACTTGTTTCACACATTTGCTTTTTGTCATTTGAAGCAAATGACATTACATGTCTTAAAAATGTCTTTTAGGGCTGGAGATAGAGCTCAGAAGTAGAGTATGCTTAGCATACATGCAACCCTGGGTTCAATCCTCAGGACCACCAAGAAAAAAAATCTTTTAAAGAAAAGAGTATAAAATTGTATAATTCCCTTTGAGTCACCTTAGCAAGTGAATATGTCCAAGCCTTTCTGGTAGTGGAGACCTGTCTTGTTATCAGTGCCCTGCTTCTGGCATCAGGCTTGTGGAGTGCTGAGCAGATGGGAACTGAATTGAAATCRCAGCAAGGGAATTGGGCAAGTGAAAACCCATTTGCTAGAATGCTGAGAACATGATGAGTTTTCAAATTTGCCTTTAGTATTACTGCGATAACAGTTTAAACCACAAAGAAAGACATTGCAGGCAAGCACCCTGTGTTGGTGAATGCAGTTAGCCTAGTTCTTTGTTGTATCCTGTTTAGGATTCTGATGGGCTGGAGTCCCTGCTTTCCTTCTGCCTTCTCTGCCTGYTCCCCTCCTTCCTTCTTTTGCCCCCTTAACCTCCCTCCTGCTTTCTTATAATTGAAACCTTAAACAAAGAACCCTGCTCTTGCAGTGCTTCAGTGGCATGAGCCTCTTCAGAGGAGGTCCTGATAAAATTCCACCTCGAAGCAGCATCCAGCTTGAGTCATGATGCCACTCCCCCACGTTTCTGCTATTGTTGTGGCTTGTATTCTGGA